TTCAGGTGCACAACAGCGCTTTATGTTGCCGTTTTTAACATGTGGCGAAAGTACACAAACTCTGGTGGGCTGATGCGCAGTATAAAATGGAAAGCGGCGCTGTTTGAGTATTATGTATACCGCATGTAGAAGTAGGGTATACTAAAGCAGTCCAAGCGGGAGTAGTCCTTAAGCAAATGATTTCGTCCTACCGGCCCCAAAAGATTCTGTTTTAGATCCTAATGTTTGTTCTTTGTTCTGTTCAGCTCACAAATGCATTCAAGCTTATCTTATTAGAACATCAATCTCCAGAGCACTATAGATGAGGAAAAACCTTCTGTTTCTTCTGACAATTTGCCTTTTTTCTGTGTGAGTGAGTACGTGCCTGCTTGTCAGTGTCATAAATTTTTTGAAACCGAGATAACAGAAACTACAAACAAAACAAAATCACAAAGAAATAATAGAATAAATGAACAGAATAGCACAAGTAGAACTCATCAAGAATAGAACTAACTAACGAACACATAACTAAGCAAACAAATTTGTTTTAGCGCACACAAAAAAAAAGCAACACAAGAACACTGTAAGTACTCGAAAAAATGAGAATGTCTGGTACGGAAGAAGAGTCATCTTCTTTTTTTTATCAAAAAGAAATGAGAAAAGAGAGATCTGAATTCATTTTACTTTTGTGAATATCCCCGACTGCCTAATGCTCAGAATGTTTTAGTGGAAAGAATCTCTAGTCTCTCTCACTTTCTTTCATTTTTTTATATTTCAACAGAGTAAAACGAACAAAAATAATATTGTCTTAGAAAATGGAAAACGTTCTTACTGTGTAATTTGTAAGAAGGATAAATAAAGTCTATCAATGTTAATTCTTTTTAATTTAAATAACTAATGATTTTTGGGTTTGGCTCTTGTAGAAAGTGGACGTTTTTATTTAGCAGCTGTTGCGGATTTTGTACGCGGTTTTGGTTGATTTGTTGTTTGTGGAGTTTGTGATTTTGAACGTGCTGTTGTTTTGGCTTGTAGTTTTGATTGTGTAAGTGTATGTCGTGTATTAGCTGTTGTAGCAGACGTGGCATTGTTATTTTCATCAGCATTATTATCTAATTGTTGTTGTAGTTGTTTGTTATTTGCTTTACTCAATTGACGTTGTTGTCGTGATTTTCTGTTCTTTTTTGCTTTTGAATTGCCGGCAACCAAATACGAAAGAAGACGAAGTACTTCTGCCAACGATTTTTTGCGTTCGCTTAACATTTGATGTAAACTGTAATCTATTGTGTTTTCCATTTTGATTTGAATCCTCTTGACATTGAGTAGAGTGATGGATTCTGATTATCATAATCATCATCATGTTGTGAATGTGGCGAATTTAATTTAACAAGTAGATGTGATGTAACGAATTTTTCTTGTCGAAGAAGAAGAAGAAATTTCCACAAGTTTGGATGTGGAGTTCCAACACGCTGATTTAATCGTCGGTTGTAGCCTGTACAAAGATAATGTAACTTAGAAGAAAAAGAGAAAAGAGTGCAATTATTTGCAAGATGAAAATAATGCAAAAGATTATCAAAAACATTTTTTCGTTGGATTATACATGGTTGGATACAGTTCGCGATGCTGATTCTGAATATGTCATTTTTAATTTTTGTAAGTCAAGTTTCGGTTGAGAAATCTTTAAAATCCAACTAACTCCGAAAAAATTGAAAACTTGACCAATCAGAAGAAACTTCGAATTTCATCTGTTTTTCGCGATTTTAATTTCTTGAAAATATGTTATTCAGATTCAGCATTTGAACGTGAGTAGAAAAAGTTATATTTGAACAAATTTGATCCTAGCTTTCTCGTTGGGCAAACTCGACTATGACCGTCAAAGCACACGCTGACTTTTCAGTTTTGTAAAGCTCTCCAGTTTTTTGTTCCCAAAGGTAAAACTTTCTATGATACACCATTCGAATCGTCAGTTGACGTGAAATAGAGGAATGCATCGCTTTTTTCTATTTTGTTTTGTCACTGAGAAAATTTATATTTTCGAAATAAGAAGCGCAAAAATTGGAATTCTGCACGTAATTCTCAGTTTTCTTCATCGGCACTCAAGTTTCATGCAATAAAAATATCAGATTCGAGATCAGCGTCACAAACTGAATCGAATGATACAAATGCTGAATCTAAATAACATATTTTCAAGAAATTACAATCGTGAGAAATACGTGGAATTCGAAAGTTTCTTCTGATTGGTCAAATTTTCAATTTTTTGGAAGTTAGTTGGATTTTAAAGATTTCTCAACCGAAACTTGACTTACAAAAATTAAAAATGACATATTCGGAATCAGCAACGCGAGCTCTATTCAATCATGTATAATTCAACGAAAAACTGTTTTTGATAATCTTTGCATTTTTTTGCATTATTTGTCCTTTATAATGGCGATAGAACAGAAAGCATTGTACAACAACCATACCTTCAAGTCCGTTATTAGTGCGATATGGATCATCACTAACACACAATCAGCATACGGAATCCATTGTGCATCGCTAAGTTTTCCTGCTTCTAGTAAATGTTCGGCAAAGTCTTTATGAAGTAATGATTGATCAATTTCAATTTCGGATACTACATGGTCAGACGATTGTGAAGAAGTGGTATTTCCTTCATCATCTTCTTCTACAGTATCATTACTTTCAATATGCAAATGTTTCAAGTGCTTATGATAATGAAGTAGTTTATTCCAGCCAGGTATCGATCGGCATGATGAGCGGTACAATTTACCTAAAAGCATACATTGTGTTCTATCATCTTTCTCCCGGTTGTTAACGGCTGTACACTTAGCTCAAAAACCCTTTTTTAGTTTTATTTTGCCATAACTGATGACCCTTCAGGGGCTTGTCTAGCTAACGGTCTCTTTTTTTCGCTCTTTTTCAAAGAACTATGGCAATAAAGTTAGAAAATAATCAAAAATTACAACTAGATGATTGAGTAGATTAAACATTTCTCTATAAAATGAAAAGTGTCTCGGCTCTGAACGTTGATTCGTTATGAAAATACAGCTGTTGTGCAAACAGCCCCAAAAAATCGATGTTGAGGCTATCTAAAAAGCGTATATAGAAGAGTGAAGACGAGCTGGCAAAAATTGAACAAGTATACCAGTTTGTAGAAAATTGTTTGTTCTACAAGATGTGATAGCTTGTCAAGTTCGAAACTACTCTAATTAATCTGTATTAATCAAAGAAAAACCAGAAAAACCGTGGCGCAGTGACAAAAAACGGTCAAAAGTGTCACGACGTCACGGTTTTTAGCTGGGCAAGCTGTCAGGTCCTGACAACTTACGAGGAACCATTCTCAAGTGACCAACTCAGTTTTTCTTCGTTCATATATGGATCGATAGCGTATATTGAGATAGTCAAAAGACTAAAAGGATTTGGATTCTTATTGCTTTCTGGGAAAGTTATTGAACGTTTTTGAGTTTTTCCTTCAGAGACTTAAAAGACACAATATGTTAGTTTCATAAAGTTTTCTTTCCTTTCGTATGTATTCAAAATTTTTTCTTATACATAGTCTCATAGCGATTTTAGTCTGTTGTGCTTTCTGACAAAATAAGCTGGAAAAACTCGGCAACGTCAGAGAAAAAAGATTTCTCATTTTTTCTGAGGGGTGGTACCACAAGTGGAAAAAATCGAAAATCGGAATTTCGAAAAACTGAGTAAGCCATTTTGTTCAGCATGTCGAATAACCCATAATCTGATAGTTTTCATCAAAAAATATTAAGGGTCGGAAAATGACCTGATCTGCCCGTGCCCTTTATACTGAAGTTTGACCAATCACAATTCCAGCCCGAAAGTTTACAAGCTATTGACAAAAAACTCTCTGCAAACCACAAAAAGCCTCGTGTATAAACTTTATACTTCAAACTTCCTTTTCCTTAGGAAAACGAATAAATCCTAGGAAGTTTTCACTAAAAGACGTTCTTTTACAAGGACTTTTTAGAATAACATCTACTTTTTATTCGGTTCTTCATTCCAAATTGAGACTAGAAAATGCGGACCTTATATTTCTCAACAAGTGAGTACAGGCTGGTTAAAAATAATTGTATAGAATAAACATTTGATTGTGAAGAATCTTACCCAAGATATATGGTGATAGGTATGATCTCATGTTTCGATTTTCCAAATAACTCTAAGATGATCAAATACTAGTAGAGAAAGGAAGTATCAGTATCACAGCACTTGCTTTCTCCACTAGTATTTGATCATCTTAGAGTTAAAGTGGAGTAGAATGGGCTGTTGGCCGTTGATTTCTTCGAAAAAATCACCTGAGCATCGTAGAGCTCGCCCATGATCGAGGAAGCACGCATCACACTTCACATAAAAAAGAGTTAGGCCAAAGAATACAGGATAAGGTTGTCTTCATCACTATCTTCATCTGAAGAGGGAGCAGTTTGAGCGTCGATAAATGGTTGTAGATAATTTTTCGATCGTTGAGTGGCTTTTGCGATATCATACCGCGCATAACCAAGATACCATAATATGCTGCAAATATGACTGACTACATAGACCGACTGTGTGATTACCACTCGGGCATTGGCATGCCCAAACGAGAGCAGGTTTTTCATCATATTTGATTATTGCTTTATATGCTTTTCTATTTGAATTTTTTATCCTTTTTTTCATTTTGTTAGCTTGAGTATGTGATAAAATTTTTAGCTTAAAAGATTTGACCATTGGAGAGAAAACTTGGCTTTACTGGCAACACGTAATGCGAGATGTTTTCGTTTAAAATCAGGGCTGAGTAATTCCAACTCCGGAGTTGAGGACTCTTTGCTGGAGTTGGAGTTGACCTTGGCGGAGTTGGAATTGACATTTTAGTAGGTTGGAGTTGGGTTTTTGAATTTTTATTCTCAACTCCGGCACGAGTGAATTCTTTGCGCCTTCCTGCCGGAAAAAGCTCAAAAACGTCCAGAATTCTGCTGGAAACTAAAAAATCTTCCTTACAAAAGTGAAGCAACGGGAATTGAACGGGAGCTGAGATTTTTGTTGAGGGAGTTGACAAATTTTGAGCGGAATTGGAGTTGGACATTTGAAAACAGAGTTGGAGTTGAAAGTCAGCGGAGTTGCCCAGCTCTGTTTAAAACGGTAACGCTAGATTGAAATGCGTAAATCGTCTGATAAAAAAGTTACTTTTTTAAGCAAGAAGGAAAATTTGAATACATACCTTAAATATCGGAGAAATAATTATTGTTCCAGCTGTCTGAAAAAAGGAACTGAAAAAACATCTGTCCAGTGACTGCAGCTAGATAAAAGCGTAAAATTTAGCGGGTGCAGCTGGCTGCAGTAGGTATATGTGTATGGAATGAAAAAATTGAAGCAAGGAAGAAAAAAAACAAAAAAGAAATTTCTGCAGAGATTCGAACTCTGTATATGAAGATTAATAATCTGCTTCGTACGCTAATGTACCCACAGGAAAACACAACTTAAAAGATATATTTTTCGTTCTGTTCTGATTAGGTATGCAACGAGCTTTGAGTAGCTCGAATTTCAGGTAGCTCGACTCGGTGCATACCTAGTTCTGATGAACTAGTGAATTGAACTTAAAGTTTAATTAGAGTAGTGTAATTAGGATTATTGACCAAGAGGAAAGCATTTCTCACAGTTGAACCTAGAGATAATAATACAAAAAATTCAGTTTCCAATACTTTATTCTCTAGGCATAACGTTCGAAAATGCTTTCTTCATAGCGAAATCAAAAATAATAAAAAGGATCGCATTTCATCCTGAAAGATGCCTTCCTGAATATGTACCAAGAGATAAAATGTCGAAAATTAAATTTTACATACTATTGTCTCTAGGTTCAATTGGGAAAAATGCTTCCTTTATGAAAAACCAAGTTACTGTATGCGATTTCCAACTAGCTTCAACTAGTTGAAAATCGTGTTAGCCTATTGGTTACTAGCTTGAGGCGGGCGCTATAGTGCCCGTTCCATGGTGTGTACGTTTATGCAACTAGCTGCAACGAGGATCAAAGCTAGGGTAGGTAGCTGCAGCGCCCGCTAACCTGTTTAATATTTTTATATTTTTGTGTAGCTAGCTGCAGCGGGCGCTACCAGCTTATTTTTTTCATGCTTCGATTATATCAGGACTTTAAGATAAACATGACAACAATTTAGATAAGTTTCGCTCGTCACGGATATAAATCACTTTATCATCTATAGTTTCAAATAAAACATAACATTATGTATTTTTTTCAAATGAAAGTTCCTGATCCCAAAGTTTCTATACAATGTGCTCCCTTTTCCGGTGGTACAACTAGAACTTTTTAACAGTGTTTCGCTAAAAGACATGGTGCACTAGATAAGCATACCGGTGTTCATATTGATTGGCTGCGCCAGATAAGAAAAAGTTTTTCATCGACGCTTGAGCTGACGATAAATAGTTCGGTTTTGATTGACTCTTCACTTCTCGAATACAACAAAATTCATAACTATATTAAAACAACAAAAAGACCTGCTTAATTTAACAAAGCTCATGATGAATAAAAATCATACATAAGGATTGGGCTATATTGAATAAAATATTTACATCAATCATCTCAAAAGATTTCTATAGAGAGGCATAGAAGTTCTAAAGGTATATATCACTCGTGTTGTCTGAACGATAATAGATGGAGGGATATCAAAACTATGAAATGTGTAACTTTCTCCTAAAGTTTCAGTTTTATTGATCCACTAACTATCTAAATTACTTCTAACGTACGGGGAGGCCTTAAACTTAAATTCTCTTAAATAATTAGTCTTTTTTCAATTGCAATCTGTTGAAGACTTAAAATAATGTATTCACTAAGATATGCAATTGAATTATCTTGTCTGTTTTGTCGTGCTTGATAAAAACAAATGCTCAATAGACGATCAAACATATTAGACATGGACTGATGAGCTTCTTCTGTGGACCATTCGTCATTGAGTGAAAGCAAACATGCTTTATAGACATCATTAGCTCTTTTTTGACCTGTCTTGAATCGAATTTTCCATTCATTCGGATCCAATAAAATTGTTGTTGATGGCGTCGCCTTGAACGATTTACAAGATTGAATAAATCGCAACAGAATACCATTCCAGCACTCGAAAGGAATTTTTGGCTTTGTCGCAATGTCATTCTTTTTCTGGTCAATTTTGTCTGTTGTGAGTATATTTCTTCGATGTATAGAATGATGAATTATTTCAATAAAAACTATGGCTGTCCAATCCAGAGTATATCTGAGCTCTTCTGTAAGTCTTGTCGAACGAGTCACTGCGTCTTTGTTCCGATGTAAATACAATGTCATACCTCCCAAACTACCATCGACTTTCAGTTTCAATTCCTCCTTCTCAATCAGCATATGGAATGCATTGTGCATTGCTTCGCCAATAATTCGATAATTCGGTGGATGTACAAAATGAGCATTCATATTTGTTCGTTTATTTCTGATCAAATATGATGAAAAAATCCACGGAAAACTAAGAATTTGTTGTCGTTTGTTAGGAGCTTTCATCGCATGTTCGTAACAACAGAAATAACAAGCAGCTGCTAATGCTCGAAGACGATCGTCACAATCATCACAGGGTTTCTCAACTGAACACTTGAAATCTACTTTTTCACATAGTCCAATGAGATAGAGATATGTATGCTGTCTCATTCGTTCAAGAAGGTGAGCAAATTCAACTTGGGCGGAGTCGTCAACATCATTTTGTTTCTTCATTGTTTGATTTGGTGACGAACGGCAAAATAAATCTGTTTCATGTTGCAATTTGTATAATGCAAGAATTTCTAATAATTCTTGTTTGTAGAGATAAAAAAGTTTTCCTGCTTCTAGTAAATGTTCGGCAAAGTCTTTATGAAGTAATGATTGATCAATTTCAATTTCGGATACTACATGGTCAGACGATTGTGAAGAAGTGGTATTTCCTTCATCATCTTCTTCTACAGTATCATTACTTTCAATATGCAAATGTTTCAAGTGCTTATGATAATGAAGTAGTTTATTCCAGCCAGGTATCGATCGGCATGATGAGCGGTACAATTTACCTAAAAGCATACATTGTGTTCTATCATCTTTCTCCCGGTTGTTAACGGCTGTACACTTAGCTCAAAAACCCTTTTTTAGTTTTATTTTGCCATAACTGATGACCCTTCAGGGGCTTGTCTAGCTAACGGTCTCTTTTTTTCGCTCTTTTTCAAAGAACTATGGCAATAAAGTTAGAAAATAATCAAAAATTACAACTAGATGATTGAGTAGATTAAACATTTCTCTATAAAATGAAAAGTGTCTCGGCTCTGAACGTTGATTCGTTATGAAAATACAGCTGTTGTGCAAACAGCCCCAAAAAATCGATGTTGAGGCTATCTAAAAAGCGTATATAGAAGAGTGAAGACGAGCTGGCAAAAATTGAACAAGTATACCAGTTTGTAGAAAATTGTTTGTTCTACAAGATGTGATAGCTTGTCAAGTTCGAAACTACTCTAATTAATCTGTATTAATCAAAGAAAAACCAGAAAAACCGTGGCGCAGTGACAAAAAACGGTCAAAAGTGTCACGACGTCACGGTTTTTAGCTGGGCAAGCTGTCAGGTCCTGACAACTTACGAGGAACCATTCTCAAGTGACCAACTCAGTTTTTCTTCGTTCATATATGGATCGATAGCGTATATTGAGATAGTCAAAAGACTAAAAGGATTTGGATTCTTATTGCTTTCTGGGAAAGTTATTGAACGTTTTTGAGTTTTTCCTTCAGAGACTTAAAAGACACAATATGTTAGTTTCATAAAGTTTTCTTTCCTTTCGTATGTATTCAAAATTTTTTCTTATACATAGTCTCATAGCGATTTTAGTCTGTTGTGCTTTCTGACAAAATAAGCTGGAAAAACTCGGCAACGTCAGAGAAAAAAGATTTCTCATTTTTTCTGAGGGGTGGTACCACAAGTGGAAAAAATCGAAAATCGGAATTTCGAAAAACTGAGTAAGCCATTTTGTTCAGCATGTCGAATAACCCATAATCTGATAGTTTTCATCAAAAAATATTAAGGGTCGGAAAATGACCTGATCTGCCCGTGCCCTTTATACTGAAGTTTGACCAATCACAATTCCAGCCCGAAAGTTTACAAGCTATTGACAAAAAACTCTCTGCAAACCACAAAAAGCCTCGTGTATAAACTTTATACTTCAAACTTCCTTTTCCTTAGGAAAACGAATAAATCCTAGGAAGTTTTCACTAAAAGACGTTCTTTTACAAGGACTTTTTAGAATAACATCTACTTTTTATTCGGTTCTTCATTCCAAATTGAGACTAGAAAATGCGGACCTTATATTTCTCAACAAGTGAGTACAGGCTGGTTAAAAATAATTGTATAGAATAAACATTTGATTGTGAAGAATCTTACCCAAGATATATGGTGATAGGTATGATCTCATGTTTCGATTTTCCATAAAATCCGGACGTTCATTGTTCAATTTGTTGGAAATCTCATTAATTTCAGCGTCGGTCAACGGATGTTTACCAGTTTTCGGAGAGTCAACTTCTTGACTGATGAAACCAGCTAATTGTTTGCAAAATGAATCATCTACACCCTGCTTATCAACAAATGCCAAATGTAAGTTTGACAATCGTCCAATACAATCTTGTTCAGCAATAGTCAAAACGGAATTGCTAATATCATTTCGTGTAATTGGTCTATTCTGTTTCTCGGGTTCTTTCTGTAAATCATAGTCATATGGATCAGCATTCGGTGTAGTGGGAACAAGATCTTCATGCCATATAACTGCATATTCATCACCTTGAAGAAAAGACAATACAAATACAATAGTGTGAAAGTAATCATAAAAGACCCTTTACCATCTAAATCGGATCCACTTATTTCATGGGGATGAGGACGATGTCCCTGGCATGGAAAGACAACTACATCCTTTAAATGTTGTAATTTTGGGTGATCGACAGCTTCAAATGTTCGTATATCTCCTGGATGATGACATGGATTTTTTGTTATTGCTACACGACCAACGAATGGTTTTGCAGAAACAGGAGATATGCGTTTATCATTAATATTAGGTAAAGGTGTAGGCTGAATGAACACCTGACCGTCTTTTAGAACACCATATTCATCTACCGTTCCAAACATATTTCTCGCTTTTGATTTTGAAACTTTAATTTTTGTTCGTTTTAACAAGTCCAAAACATTATTCAAACAGCATCCAATAACCAAATCACGAAAGAAAACTTCATTGACTAAATCGACATTTTGAGATAGCTCTTGTAATGGAAACACGTCTAATACTTTATCAATCAACAACTGAAACGCCTTTTGATTATTCAACAAGGATTGTACGAGCCACAAAAGAGTTTTATTTTGTAATATGAGAAAATTTGAGTCACAAATATGCCGATTAGATAGTAGAACAATGACTTGACGATTCAAACAGAGTGCACGTGGAGCAGATAGTTTGCAAATTTCTAACATGTCATAGGCAGTTTCAAACTTTTTCATACTTTCTCGAATTATAAGTTGATACTTTTCATTATCCAATTCTGGCCTTACTGATAGTGTTCCCTTACATCCACCATAACGAATCTGCATAACACTAATATTTGCCTTTCGGTGAAGTTTCGTTTGAACCTAGAGTTCAAGAAACTGTTTTCTAGGTTATTTAAAAACAAGTGAGTGCAACTACCTCTCTAGATAACTTCTGTGATATTATGCCACATCCATCAGTGAATGTATATCTTCCATTAGCAGTTTTAATATCTTTTACATATTGAACAAGTTTAGATGGAATCTAAAAATGTATCAAAATTTAACGATAAATTAAAATAACGGACACTTTACCCTTATTGTATCTTCTGTACTTGTAAAACATTGTGCAATTCTTGCTGAATGTTTTGCAACAACTTTTTCATTATCAAAATTGCCCATCCATTTATACACATTTTCTAATGTGAAATCTGGATATTCTTCATGATAAAACCAAAATTGTTTAGAACGTAATTGTGACTGAGAATGATGAAGATATCGATACCATCGATTTTTACCAATTTGAAGTCCACCATTTTTATCCAAATATTTGTCTAATGTATGACGTAAACCTTTAAAATCGTATGTCTGTAAATCTCCTCCATTTTCGTCTTTAAATTCTATTAGAGCAAAATTCATTACACTTCCAAATTGTTCATTTTGACGAATAATACGATTTGTTTTGCATAATTTTAAATGTTTGACTTGAATAGTGGTAGGTGTAACAGTAACGTTTGGTACAAATGCATGTTTTTCCGGTGGTTCTCGTAAATTACTGATGAGACTATATCCAGCTGTTGGTGTTTCAGCTTTTCTTTTATATCCACTTATGGCATGTCTCAGTTCTTCTGTTGGATCAAAATAATGATTTATTGATGAATATCGGCAAAGATAAACACAGATACGATAAAATTCATCTGTCTCTGTCTTGGTCTCGGCCAATTTAAGTAATTCTTGATGAAATTTGTCTGTCATTCCCATTTGAAATCGATAACCGGCACTTAACATCATTTGGTAACTGTAATTGTGATATAGATTATCGAATGACACAGAGGAAAGCTCATGATTATCACTTGTTTCATGTTTGATTGATCCAAAACATATATCAATTTTATTGTCGCGAAAAAATTCGATAAAATATTTGAATGCCAATTTAATACTGTGAATTGCCTTTTTATCTTTATTTCGTTCAAGATAAACAGCAAACCGAATTGTTGAAAAATATGGATAAGGTTGATCGGCTGGTTTTCGGTAAAATATAGGTATCATTGGTTCTTGTCGAGTATTTCGATTTTGAGAAACGACACGTTTTCCACGTCCCATCTTGTTTAAATTATTTGGAGCTCGTGATCGCCGCTGCTCTAAAATACCAGTATTTGTAAATAAGACTGATGACACTCGTTATGTGGCTATTTAATATTTGAAATATGTCCTTAGAGATTTTGTGATGGATTTAAATTAAAGTGTTCTACATTGTTTTTCAAATAATTTTCCTCGGAAAAGAGCTAGAGACGTACGACTTTTATCCGTCCATAGAACATAGGGAGATATATTTTCATAAGAAAAACAGTTTTCAAAATCTTTTCCGAAATAAAACAAGTTTGAGAAAATCTCTGAAAATGGTTTTTGGTTTTGCGACAGTTTGAACCAAAATGATTTTGTTTTTTTTGTATAAGTAGATACATGAAAGTGGCAAATTCCAAGTGGGAATCGTCCACACTCGTTCTATTCGCTGGTTTAGATATGCCATCTGATTTCCTGGGAGCCGTAGAACTGTTATTGATCGTTTTATGATAAGTTTATAAATACTTGAATATGCGTGGATTATGGTTATCGACTATGTCGAGTCACGTGGCAATAACGTTACATACAGTCTGCATTTTCCAGGTCATTCTGATTCTTATGGATGAGTTATAAACTTTTTATTCTTAGCTAAAAATAGAAGGAAATAGTCTAACATTCCTATTTTGAGTCTAATTGTGTTTTCACCGAGCTTTTCAATTGTTTTTTGCAAAGAAGTATTACCACGTGACTGCACATGAGCGATAACTATAATTCATGCATATTCAAGTATTTATGAACTTATCATAAAACGGTCAATCGACTTGTTCAAATGTAACGCTGTTACGTTTTTGACGCACTTTTTCTCAATTATCTCGAAAAGTTTGAAAGCTAGAAAGTTCGTTCAATCGCCATTCGACGCAGTTCATTATAATCTATGTATGCTATAAAAACAAAGTTTTTTGGTTGAAGTATGGAGCTTCAAGAAAGGTTTTTCATCGCGTAATTCTGTTAGATAAAAAGGCCACAAATTCGGAGTGCTCTTGCTAAAGTTCTAATTTCCTGTGAAAGTCAGTCGTCAAATGAAATGTCCCTAGAGAAAATTTTGTAGAGCATCAAATGAACTTTTCAGCGGTGAAAAAACATTTTCTTCTAACTAGTTTTACTCGAGTAAAAAAGCAAAAGACAAACGTAACGCTATTACACATTTTTTTGTCACACCATTTTAGGGCAATCAGCGTTCTTCAAACAACTTCATACTTATAGCCTTCCTGAAGATACTCCACTTGTAAACAAAGTTCCAAAAGATGTCTTAGGCTTTTAGATCGAGTTGGGAGTTCAAACTTGTAAGCAGACCTTGTGCTTCGACTGAGAAATATTTCTTAAAACAAACTGCGTCATTTTATAGAGAATTGAATTCTCTATCCGACAGTATATTTTTAAAATTATTTTACGAAAATCTCTAGATCAGGAAATTAAAATTGAAGTTTTCAAAAATTTTAAATTTAGATTTTATAATTGAAAATTCAGTTTTTTTTCAAAATAATGGCCGAATTCGTGATCAGCATGAATAACTACGTCTAGTGTGATGCGATCCTTCCGATTTCCCGATGAAAAAAAAAACTTAATCAGCGAAGGGTTATGTGGGCCAGCCGCAATACCAGTTGTAATGCTCTCAGGAAATTCGATGGCATATCTAAATCAGTGAATAGAATGAGTTCGGACAATTCCCATTTTGAAATTGGCACTTTTCGTTTCTTCAGACTGGTGAGGACATACTTTAAGTATAGGTCTTACGAGGGAAGGTCCCCCACTGTTCAATGGCTTTTGAGCTGAACCTAAGTGGACAATAGGTAATCGAGGGTGCTGAATCCGAATATCACAATCGTTTGGGCTAACGTTGGGTTTTT